TTTATCGTTTTCAGTTTTGTTATTCCTAATTTTAGCGATGTTATTGCTCTCAAATGTAGTGTTTTTTCTTTATTATGGAAATCTATATATGTAATTCTAGTAGCTTTTTACGATAAGTGTTTACGTCACACTTACTTTGCCTTTGTCTATGAATTATATCTATAATTTATTTGTTTTGAAATAATCAAACTTTACTACTTATTTTGAAGTTTAATACGAGCACATGAGTAAACAAACCGTACCGTACAGAGACAAAGCTTCATACAACCGCGCTGTTTATAGGTACACTACTACAAGCTTGAGACGCGTGTTTGCGTGAGCACTGGCGGCTTGTCACGTAGAGAGAGAAACTTTAAACCGGCTCGGCTAGTGCTGAAACTTAGGATTGTGTAAAAAATAATAAGGTTCAAATTTTGTTTTTCAAAGAATATTTCGTATGTAATGAAATATAAAAAAGTGTAAATATTACTTACTTACTTACTTACTTATCTTCACGCACAATCCCTGACGGGGTAGCCAGAGAGAACAGATCGCCAAGTGTCACGATCCTTACATACCTCTTTCGCTTAAATACGGTTTACTAATACCTACGTAGATTTAAATCTTATCGAGGTTGCCGCAAGAGATACCACTGATTTTGTAAATAAAATTAATAATTTGTTTGGTTTCTTACGCTCAAGTACATTGCGATCTCCTAATAAAAATAAGAGAGCTTTTCGATGCGATAGATATTAAATTGAGTTTTTAGAAGAAATGCTAAAATTTTTCAGTAACTTAAAATCAATAAGAAGTGATAAGCAGAAAGACATCACAAATAGTATGAATTTCATTCACGGATTTCAAGTATCTATAAAATCTTAAATAAAACTTCATGAAGAATTAAAATCGGAAGAAATTATATTAGTTTATATTTACGAGACATGTCAATAAAGATTGTCTCGAAAATTTCTTTGTAAATGTCAGACAGGCGGGTGGTAACTGCCAGGAACCAACATTCGACTAGCTAGTATTGCCTTTAATAATATGTTCAAAACCAATACGCCTCAAAACCTCAAAATACTAATTTTGAACACGATTTCGATATGTTACATATCAGAACCAGACGATTGTCGTATTTTAATAAATCACCGCAACCTGACGATGTTACTGCTTCTTTGTTAACAGTAGGAACAAATGATGATGATTTGCCAGAAAAAAATCGTTTAGTCTGCGTCGGAATATTTGTATAGAAAATGTTGTCTCAAACACCACAAATGTGAGAAAATAAAACTGTACGTTAATAGATCTGAACAACCAAAAATATGGGAAAATATTCTTTTACAGCCATTACAAGGATTTTAAAGATATGTTCAATCGGGTTTTTTTACGATACTTGCTGACAATTTTATCGCGTTTATTGAATTCCTTGAGCAAAAAATTTGCGAATATTTTGATCTCGAAAGAAAGATTGTAAATATTGGTAGTGAAATACTAAGATGCTTTTAAAGTATAGATACGTCATAGTCGCTCTAAAATGGCATACAAAAGTCAGGTAATTGCCCTGACCTGACCTGACCTGATCGCATTCAGTCGGGCACACTCTCGCTTCGCTGCTATACCTTCGCTACAGCGCGTAAATCTTATAGTTATTCGTGGTATAAATGCCTTCTTGTGTGTGTTTTAAGCTGGTGCACAAATTACACGGCAACTGTTAGAGAAAAGAAATACGTCTCATTAATAGTTTGAATATAGATGTTTTGTTCATAATTGGTTTTATTATTTCAACACTAACCGCTAATATAAACTTTGACGCTAGCTAGTGTGTTCATTTCCATATCGGTATGTTACGCGCTCGCGCCAATGACCGCTCAGCAGCAATACATACGCAACTAATGATGTATATTCATCTTTTTCTAACGATAGGTATGCCGTATCATTTGTCTCTTTTTGTTAGCGCAACGTGTCATAATAACTGTACGTAGATATAGTACTAACTGCGCCACTTTAAAATACAATAATGTTAGTGTGTAACCTGTCTATCCTTTTAATACGTCTTTGGTGAAATATTAAAACGTGTACAATAGTTTATATTTGTTATGAAATGCGAGTGTTTTCCAATAGAGTATTTTAAAAAAACTTTACATTAAATTTATAATTTACCATTTAATTAAAAGCTACAACAAATTGTTGAAGAACAATAATTATAAAAGTAAAATATTTAGAATATGTAGTTTTAAAAAAAATATTATATCTTCAGTACCTATTAAAATGCTGATAAACGTATTGTTTATTTAATTTTATCCTCCTGTGGCAACCCTACCAAAATAGGTAAAAATTTTGACAGCTCCTTGGAAGCTTTACTCTGTACAGTTTCATTACTCATGTGATACGAGTATCGTATGTTCCATTAAACTTGAATTCCCAAATTGAAATTATAAATAACTAACAATGCTCGCGACTTCGTTCGCGTATAATATTTTTCTTAGATTGTTTCAGTTTTATTACATTGGGTCTAATAAATTATATTTTATTGGCAACACATCTATATTTGAAAATAATTTGTACCGTAGAATATTAAACATTAAGAAAATATAATGAAAAAGAAACCAAGGAAATTACTCTTAATTTATAAAAACATAGTGTTTCTTGCATTGTAAACTTCAATGATAAGGAAGGAAAGATAATTCGTCTGCTGTGCGATGGCGACGTAAATTAATCCATCACGCCGTTACGTCCAGGGCGTGTCGCAAGAGTCGACTATGGGAAATGCCAAAAAAATTAATGGCTTGCAATACATGGCAGTAACTGCCATGTATTGCAAGCCATTAATTAAGTAATAAAGCGCAAGACATAATACACATAGACCGCAACGTCAAAGGTTATAGGTTAGATGTCTTTTTTTATAGAATAAGGGTGACAAACTTGCACACAGTACACCTGATGGTAAGTGGATGCTGAGGCTCATAGACATCTACATCTACCTTCGATTAAGAATCAAAATGCAGATGCGTTGCCGCCCCTGTGTTTAAAGATGGAATGCCTCGTTTCCAGTAAAAAGAGTCTCCGGAGTGTAGAGAACTCATCGTACGAAACACAGCAGCATTGTGCTGCTATTTTACGCTGGTATTCTGTGAGAGCGTGGTCCTACCTCGTAGAGCCGACTCATTCGTGTTGCAACCATAATATAGCTGCAGCATGGCTTATCACGTAAAAAAAACCAATACTTGCCAGCACTTGGATTAGTTTAAATCGAAAGAGGTAATAATAAAAAAACAAGTATTTGTATGGCCTACAAATAATTGTACCGGGTTTGGATGTTTGTCCTTGTGAAATATATGTATACCCACGATACAAGAAATAATCCTAATGTGAAGGTAAACTTGTGTCTGAAGTCGAGTCTTTGCTGAACAAAGTCTCGGATTGGGGGCGACTAAATTTAGTCCAGTTTAATCTAAAAACCTTACCGCGTTAACGTTTACCGCTAAAAAGAACCCCTTTGTCGTATCTCCTCAGTTTCAAGGCACTCCCCTTCTTGCCTCAGCCAGTATCGGAATCCTCGGAGTCGACATATCGAGTGACGTGCAGTTTCGTGGTCACTTGGAAGAGAAGGCCAAATTGGCCTCTAAAAAGCTTGGCGTGCTCAGCAGAGTGGGACAGTATTTCATGCCGGCACACCGCTTGCAACTTTACAAGGCGCAGGTTCGGCCTCACATGGAATACTGTTCCCATCTCTGGGCAGGGGCTTCCCAGTGCCAGCACCTTTCACTTGACCGCATCCAGCGCAGAGCGGCTCGAATCGTCGACGACCGAGTCCTTTTCGATCGGCTCGATTCATTGGCGAAGAGATGTTGCATCCTTTTGGGAAAATCCTGGGTTGCGGTTGTTCATGGGCGGCGGTAGTCACTTACCATCCGGTGAGCCGCATGCTCATTTGCCCCCTCTCCTATATAAAAAAAAATGTTTTTTTTTTAAAGAAAAGAGAAATAACTAGAATAAAAACCCTATTACCAGCATAACAACTACTTATATCTATTTACTACATTGTTTTAAGAAACAAATAATTTGAGCCAAGTTCCCACTGGAACTCGGCTTAAATTAGATTATATGATGTTTTTGTATAAGTATTCTCTAAATCTCTAACTGTAGAGAAAATTAATTAAAAAATAACAAAACATAAATAATAATAAACTAAATCTACGGCTAACTGAAAAGTTTATAGCGATAGTAAATCGATAATCGTATAAAAATGTTACATTTTACTTTTACAAAATTAAGTCTGTTCGATATTAACGAAATGTCGTACCTAAGTAATCTTTTTTTTAACAAAAATATAAAACTTCTGTTGAAAAATGTAGTTTTATGGACTTTTTCTCTTAAGCAAATATTAATATGCATCAATAAAGTAGGTACAACATCGATTACCTATAAATAAGTAGGTAGTTAGCGTTCGGAAAGTAATACTTACAAAAGAGAAACTTTTTAAAATGCCTGAACTGTAACGAAAGTCAGAAAGTTCAAAGCATTTTTTGCATAAAAAAGCATCGTTCAAATTAGAAGTTCAGTTCCGTTCTGTCAGTTTTTTCATTGGGGAACAGGAAGCTATATAAAAATTTACTACAACCGTAGTAGAAAACAGATTGGTAATAAGACGCCAAAAATCTTATTATTTTATAATTAAAAAGAGATGGTACTATCATATTTTGTGTAATAAATACTAATAGTGAGTCAACTCAGCGATTAGACAGATCAACGATAAGGCGCGGTATGAAAGAGAGCACGACCATCTATTTCTCTCTTTTCATTAGTAAAAAATAAAAATAAAATCTTTTGAGGGGACAAAAAAAGAGTGGAAGCATAGTCTCGCTAGAAGTTGGAAGCAGCTTTTTTGCTAATAGCGGTTCGCTGCCATTTACCGTCTTTGGGTCGGCAGATCGAAGAACGCACTATCGTAATTTGTAACTGAAGAAGAGCTTAGACCTATCGTCTTAAGGTAAGAATATTAAAGTACGACAAAATCTCACCTAAGTGCGGCTTTATCGCAGGCATCGGGCGTGTCGACGGCGGGCAAGTGTTCAGTGTCCAGGTCAACTTGATCCAGCTGTTCGTCAGTGGGCGTGGAGCTTTCACCTTTGCTCCGGCTGGACGAGCGACGGACTATTGTTAGGGCGCCTTGTTCTGCTAACAAAAGAAAACGCATATTTTATCTGGTAACTACAATAGGTGTATTAAACAAAGATTAATGTATTTTTTAATTGTTTATGGTTGTAATTTTAGTGACTTATCTAAAAGGGCACTTTATTTGTTTATGAAGTGTTGAATGAATTTTATTTTTGCAAATCAACATATTTCATTTAGTCAACATACAACAAAGATGTCGTCCGTAACTTACATGGTACTACAAGCACTTCTATGATATTCAACAAAATAAAAAAGAACATATACGTTGATATAGTACTCACATGCGTTGAAGTGATAACAAACATGCATATTCAATGAAAACAGCGCTTTTTGATTGCTGAAGTGGAGAATTTTGAAATCGCTTTTTAGAATTCTCTCAACTGAGAGTGTTGAGTCGGGCGGCGTCCGTTTATAGAATGCTATTTACACTTTTCAAATCAAACTATCATTTTGCTCCTTTTGCAATTGAAAGTGGATCTCTTGGTTCAATAGTGACGCTATGCACGATAACCTTTAACCTTTAAGTTTTTTCTACGTAATAAATTAAAATTCCGTTTTTCAAATGTATTTTGTAATCTACTACAGTTTCGAAATGAGGTTCCTTTGACCCAAGACGAAACGGCGAAAGAAACTCCGCAAGTATTTTTTTTATTTCATTTTTAAATTTACAAAAGTATAAAACTTACATAATATTATAGAATGTAAAACAATAATATACCTATTAGTAGCTAATGTTCTATGACGTAATAAATAAAGGACGTTAAAATTTGGAGCTTATCAGTGCATAACAACCAGACTACCTTACGTAAGAGTCGGTCTGTATGTACCAACCTCTTAGTCTTACATATTTTTGTCGCTGTCCGTGCGCTGCAGCGACCAACTAGGTACCATGGACTGTGTGTTAGTTTGTCATTTCAATTTTAGAGACACAAAAGCAAACCAGCCCCATCAGCAGAACCTGTTTACAGGTATGACGAATACGAGAACGTAATGGAGTTTCTCTTTCGAGTCTTTTTTACAATTTTACAAAAATATCTTGTTTTAAGCTTAAAGAAAAAAAAATGTGCCTTTTATTTTTCTTTGGATAATCTTAAATACGGGAGTTGCTTCTCGTTTGTACAGACATCTGACAAAGATTTGTTTAAAATCCTTAAAAGCTTGTCGAGCGTTAAGAATAAAAAAAACTTTTGATATCTTGAATTTTGTGTGATAAAAGTTTTACTTGCCTTTTTGTCTTATGATTAAGCATTTTATCAAAAAATTAAAGAGACAAGTTTTAAGTAATTTTTGACGTCGTAATTGAGCTTATAATAGATAGATATACAACTTTATCATTCTCGATTACTCAAAATGCAGATACGTTCTAAGCCGCGAGAACTAAATGGTTATGCTTCATTACCAGTATACAGGTTGTGCGGTACTCGTCAACCACATAAACGTGGTAGAGCCACGCTGCAGCTATCTATATTATGGCTGTTGCACGAATGGGTCGGCTCGACCGGGGATGGACCACGCTCTACAGAATACTAGTGTAAAATAGCAGCTTGGTGCTGCTGTTTCGTATGGTGGGTGTAGAGAACCGCAAAAATTTTTTACTGGAAAAGAGCCCTTTCATCTTAGTCCTTACGGGTGACAATGCAGTGTTAAGCTGCTAATTTACGCTGGTACTCTGTGATAGCATGGGCCTTCCCGGATCGAGCCGATCCATTCGTGCTATAACTATACCAGATATGTAGCTACAGCATACTGTACCACGTATAAAAATGTCTTACCAGGTCGTCAATCCATCTAGCAGAGGTCTGCCCTACACTTCGCCTATCGGTATAAAGCCTGCCACTTCAGAACCTTTCTTCCCTATCGGTTGCCGGTTCTACTACTAATCCTTTGGGATATGTCGATTTCTCTAGTTTTACTGCAACTATCCTCATTTCTAAGTTTATCACGCAGAGAAACCCCAAGCACAGCCCTCTCCATAGCTTGCTGAGGGAACTTGAGCTTCGTCAAACGGCCAGCAGTGAAGATCCACATCTCAGATCCATATGCCATCACTGGCAACACGCACTGGTTGTACAATCTCGTTTTCAAGTTTTGACCTGACGAGAAAATATGCCGTAGGTAATGTCCCGACCGCGGTCCAGCCGAGTTGAATCGGTCGTCGATTGACCTCTCAGTCGAAGTTGGACTTACCTAGTCGGACTATTTGTGCCAGCTAAACATACTCGTCAACAAATTTGAACTTAGTGCTCCCAATAACTACAGGCGTAGGTGTGACGTGGACGTTAAACATGATCTTTGTTATGTCCATGTTGATCTTAAGACCTACCCGTTGGGAGGCACTAATGAGGTCATTCAGCATAGTGCTTAGGTCTTCCAGCAATTTTGTAATAAGGACTATATTGTCGGCAAATCAAACGTGAAAGATGTACTCGCCATTTATGTTAATACCGTATCCTTATCCAGTAGCTTGAACAACAATTTCGCAGTAGTATGCAATACCAATTGTTTAGACCAATGTTTTTTGTTTACATTGTTACAAAAAAAAAAACATAAAAAACCCATATTTATTGGAATTGTATCTCCGGATGAACTACCTACTACAGGAATCTGAGGAACTTCAGGGATTCCTTCTTGCTTCTCTACCAGAGTACAAAAATACACTAAAAATATTTGATATAACCGTCACCAAGGACAGATGTTCTTTTGTTATGAGTAAAATAATACCTATACACGGGCACTTCCTCCAAAAAAAAATTGAAATAAAGACTGGATTATAGCGAGTGCTATAGTACGCGCTTATGGACGCCATTGAAGTTCGTTGTCTGCCTGGGTGATAGAACCTCAATATATGCCTATCAAAAACGTTTATAAATTGCAGCTTAATTGAAATAACGTAAATTATAAAGAAAAAATTGTACTTGTCAACCAACCATGAACTTGGAACCGCCATAGGTGTCTGCCAATGCTATTTTTCAGTAACTTTTATTGAATATTTTTAGATGTCAAAGCGGCAGACTTATTACTTTCGCGGTTTTTTTCGGTCATTTTTTATATCGACCGCGGTCAAACTAAAAGAGTCCCCATTTGATGTACCTTAAGGTATAGGGGAGTAACTGAAAAAAAAAGTTAAGCTCAATGAAATACCGTAAATCTGTCGCTCACTGGCTCTTAGACTATACGTTCGGTAGTGGACTTGTGATGGGCTGTAGTGCTAGTAATAGTAACAAGGTTCTTGTGATACGATAATATTCCTACAGGCCGGGTTGTAGCAGTGAAGTATGTTTCTGTTAACGTAAATTTGACGCTGTTAGATACTTACTAGCTGTTGAAATTAAAAAAAAAACATCCTAATTTCAATAAAGAATATGGCTGGGTACTGGCATCTGCTTGAAATTCCATAATTAATAAAAGTGTATCCAAATCCAAGCATATTACTGTTAGACTTCAAGATACTGCAAACTCGTTCTACGTAGATCGGAACAAAAATTCATATTGAAAAGATGAAGGTGCTCAGAACGTCGAAAATTAAAAAAGTTAAGATTAAAAGCGATAAAATCCGTAAAACTCGTTTTATTCCAGGAGTAGTATTCGCGTAAATATAAGAAATCATTAGTTCGTTGTATATATATCTATATTTCACATCAAAAAAGGGCCGTAAGACGCGTTACAGTTAGGATAAAATATAATTTACTTTTGTATGGAATGAGCTATTGTAGTATGCACTGACTACTATGATGAAACTTCACCATAAGAATAGTGGCTAGTTTGTTGTTTATATTATCTTTAATATTTCAAAGGTTGATTTTGTTTGTTAGAAAAAGAAAAATAATGTTATAACTCTTAAGAAAAACACTTTTTTTTCATAAGCTGTAATGAAAAACTTATCAGAAAATAAATGATACATTCCAAAGAAGAACGGCAGATTTTGTACCGCATACTTTTTTGTTGTTTTGTTATAGAATTTGTACCACATATTAAGGCAACTGTCATTCATAGGGGGGTATTTGCTATAGTTGCCACGCCATGTTTAATGTCCATGTCACACCTATGCCGGTAGTTGTTGGGAACACTAAGCTCGAAGTTGTTGACGAGTATGTTTACCTGGGACAAATAGTCCGACTAGGTAAGTCCAACTTCGACCGAGAGGTCAATCGACGGATTCAACTCGGCTGGGCAGCGTTCGGGAAGCTAAGACACATCTTCTCGTCAGACATACCTCAAAACCTTAAAACGAAATTGTACAACCAGTGCGTGTTGCCAGTGATGACTTACGGAACTGAGACGTGGTCCTTCACTGCTGGTCGGATGAGAAAGCTCAAGGTCGCTCAGCGAGCTATGGAGAGGGATATGCTCGGAGTTTCTCTGCGTGATAGACTTAGGAATGAGGATATCCGCAGTAGAACCAGAGTAACCGACATAGCCCAACGGATTAGTAAGCTGAAGTGGTAGTGGGCCGGCCATATAGCTCGAAGAACCGACAACCGATGGGGAAGAAAGGTTCTCGAGTGGCGGCCTCGTACCGGTAGGCGAAGTGTAGGACGTCCCCCCACGAGATGGAGTGACGACCTGGTAAGACATGCAGGAAGTCGATGGATGCAGGTGGCTCAGGACCGTGCTTTGTGGCATTCTTTGGGGGAGGCCTATGTTCAGCAGTGGACTTGTGAAGGGCTGTAATGATGATGATGATGATGATGATTAAGGCAACTAAGCCATTTATTTTTATGTTAGTGTTCTATTTTTAGAACTCCGGATTAATTAATAATATCAATAAAAAGATTTTAATAAATAAACGTAATATAAGCGTAAACTAAACGCATTTATGTTTTTAGAAGTTGCCATATGTAAAATAACACAAATATCGGAATGATAATTATTTATTTAGAAATAATACCATATTTAATTAAACACATATATTATACGTAAGAATGCATAATTGTTGCATAAAATCATAATAGATTACGATTTAGTGATAGGAATGATGTTCGTCATCAATATTATTT